ATATAAGTGAGCCTTTTGTTTGTCTTCCTTATAACTTCCTCATTGCTTTCATGTTTCATCCATGGTAGAATCACATCACTATTGCCTCAAATCTCTTCCTCAGCTGTGGGGAAAATTGTCTCGCATTGACTGTTATAGAGGAAGAATTATATTACATTGCAGCTACAAATATTCTGACGTTACAAATCTAGCATCTTTCCTTCAACTGGTTTGGTTTGTTTTACGGCATCTCAACCTCAATGGGTTATTTAATGCTGGCAAGATTTTTAGGATAGGTTTGTAAGAATAAAATATGTATTTGTAAGAAACCAGTTTGTAGATCAGGTTTCTTTCATGTATTTTTGTAAAAAACGGTTTTGTTGAGAGTCAGAGCTATTTTCTGGTAACATTTATTTTCCAAAAATGTATTGCTGGCAATTTTTTTTTTTTTTTTCAAGAATGTATTCTATTTACATTATTCGAACTATTGTCCTCATCTTTGTTGCCATATTTATTACAACATTTTGGCCTTTCAGTATCTGTCTATATTTCTGAGATGAGGTATTATGTACACTACTTACATTATTCGGACTATTGTCCTCATCTTTGTCGCCATATTTATTACAACGTTTCAGCCTTCTTCAGGTGGTTGGAATGTCGAACTGAACTCTTTATTTCGCTCACTGGGGGTAGACTGTTCTAGTTCCACGTGACATGTTTTAATGCCTTTATCCACTGTGCCATGTGTCTTTGAGGCATTAGTTAGATCCAGTGACAGGACCCAAAGAGTTTGAGTTCAATACCCAGTTAAAGCAGTGGAGAACTTTCAGAGGTAAATTAGCAGGAGATAACTGATAACTGACATCCATTAAACATGGAACTAGAACAGTCTACCCCAGTGAGCGAAATAAAGAGTTCAGTTCAATATTCCAACCATCTGAAGAAGGACGGAGCATACAACAGCCAAAACATTGTAATAAATATGGCGACAAAAATGAGGACAATAGTCCAAATAATGTAAATAATTTCGGCTGTTGTATGCTCCAACCTTCTTCAGGTGGTTGGAATGTTGAACTGAACTCTTTATTTCATTTGCTGGGGTAGACCATTCAAGTTCTACGAGACATGTTTAATGGATGTCTGTTAATTCCCCTCTAGAACTGTCTACCCCAGCGAGCAAATTAAAGGGTTCAGTTCAACATTCCAACCACCTGAAGAAGGCTGGAGCGTACAACGGCTGAAACGTTGTGCTGAATGTGGCAACAAAGATGAGGACAATAGTCTGAATAATGTAAATAGTGTGCATAATACCTCATCACAGAAATGTATTGCTGATATTTTTACTATAAAAACCTATTTTTACACTTTCATAGTGTTTTGACCCCAGTTTAGGAGTTAACTATTTGCAAACAGCTGGGACCCTAACAGGTGCTATCACCCTGAGTCAGGTTGGACCTGGGAACAACAGCAGTTAAGAGGTGGTTCCACACTCCACAAAAACCTCTAATCTTCTGATCAGAGGCTTTGCTGCCAGATGTAGTTTATCATTATTCCCAGGGTGCCTAGTGAAATTTGCCTTGGACAGGTAGAGTTTGAATCAACATAAGAGATTGCTTATATGTGTTTAAAAAAAGCCCAAAAATAAAGAGTGAAATGAATGTCTTGTTTTGTAAAATGGCCATGAAAAGTATTTGAATTGACACTCCTTCACAAGACATGATAATATTCTAAATTAATTACCGTATTTGACGGCATATAAGACGCACTTTTTTTTTTTTGAGTCTGTCTATAATTCTGAGATGAGGTATTATGTACATTATTTACATTATTCGGACTATTGTCCTCATCTTTGTCACCATATTTATCACGTTTCGGCCGTTGTATGCTCCGGCCTTCTTTAGGTGGTTGGAATGTTGAACTGAACCTTTTATTTCGCTCACCGGGGTAAACTGTTCTAGTTCCACATGCCATGTTTGATGGAAGTCAGTTATCTTCTGTTAATTTTCCCTCTGAAAGTTCTCTACTGCCTTAACCGGGTATTGAACTCACACTGTTTGGGTCCTGTCACTGGATCTAACCAACGCCTTTATCCACTGTGCCATGTGTCCATTTTTTTTATTAATAATATCTTTTAAATTTTCTCTGTGTCTTATATGTAGGTTTAAAATTCGCAATAGTCAGCTGAAATTATTAACCTGGCAACTCCTATTAGCTTTTAGACTTTAGAGTAACTTTTATATACTTTATATCATTATTTAAAAGGTTATTATGCAGATCAAATGTTGTCATTGATAATATTTATTATATTAATTTCATCACATTTAATATTAGTACTTTGCTTCAGTAAAATTATATGCAATAAATTCAAATTATATATTTGTAACATATATTTGTTTATTATTTTTCTTACGACAACTTCCGGTTGCATTGGTATAAAATCAAAATTTTTATATCCTAATAATTCCAATAAGATGTTTACTAGACGCAGGTTGTACAGATCATAAAAAGAATATAATAAAGTTTTTATAGCCTCGTGTTCTTTTTTTCTTATTATTTTTTGTTTAATTGTAATCATGGCTGGTTTAACCAAAATAATACCTCAAAAATATAGCCCCTGCTGTATCATTTACAAATAATTTTACTAATTACTAATTTTTTCTTGATTTGCGCTGCTGATATTGGGGTTAGGATAGTGATTTTCCAAGCATAGTATAGATGTGGCACAAGGCCGAAAGTAGGGGGCACCCACTGAGAATCAAACTCACTAAGTTGTAATGGTTCTAGTGAGACATGCTTGCTTACCATTATACTGCCTCAAGGTGAAACTTTCATCAATATAGTGATTTTCCAAGTGTAGCTTAGATGTGGCACAAGGCCGAAAGTAGGGGGCACCCAGTGAGAATCAAACTCACTATTCAGACGTAACTGTTTTAGCGAGACAAGCTTGCTAACCATTACATCGCCTCGAGGTTCCCCTGTCATCAACATAGTGATTTTCTAAGCGTAGCTTAGATGTGGCACAAGGCCAAAAGTATGGGGCACCCAGTGAGGATAGAACTCACTATTCAGTTGTAATTGTTCTAGTGAGACAAGCTTGCTAACCATTACATCACATCGAAGTGTCCCAACTGCGCATCTCATATGTGGTCAAATATGGTAATTTATTAATCCAACAGATTTTTATCACTTTAAATGTTATTTTTAGTGGATACTCATATTTGAGTAGACGCTCCATTTTATTTATTAAACGGTATATTTATTTTCAACTTCCGGCTTGTATAGTTAAGAAATCTTGTTAAAGAATATACACTCTTCGGCATCATTCGAACCGGCTTCCTCTGGGTAGAGGCAAACCGTCATTAGATCCGATGTGACTTATCAATACAGCTACAAAGAAGTAGTGATTGAAGTGATAAAAAAAATCTGGCAGATTAATAAATAAAAAAAATCGATTACTTCATTAGAAAATTTGTTTATGTTTGGATACAAAATCAAATGGACATGATAATTTCGAGGAATTTATGACTTGAAGGATTTCGCTTAAAGGAATTGTTCATTTGATTGGCAAAGCTTCTTCATGATTAAGTCGGTTAATGCACATCAGGTCTAACAGCAGTTTCTCTCTGCTGAATGGGGTACAGGTTCAAATCATGCTGGAGAGCTCATATTTTTGTTGAAGATTTCTTGAATATTCAAGCTGATAGAAAAAAAAAAATACTGTTTAATCAATAAATCGCACATCTACTCAAATATGTGTATACACTAAAAATGTTTTTAAAAAAAAGATATTGAGTATATTTTTCAAAATACTCCCTCTTTTGCCCCCACCCCTAGATGTTTCTCTCCTGAGATGCTGGCATGAAAATATTAACTGTCTTATGTCATAAACTTTCAACAAACCAAATTGTGTTATGTTCACTGAAAGTCCTGCCATACATTTTTTTCTTTTGCATTGGTGGGGGGGGGGCGTTCAAATTATGCAATATTATTTACTAGGTGGGTGGAGGTTTTGATATATTAAAAAAAAAAAAAAAATGTAAGGTCTGAAAATCACCTACAGCTTTAATAGATCACTTGATTATATGATTGTTGAGGGAATCATCATCTAAAAAAAAAAAAAAAATCACAAAGTTTAAAAAAGCGTTTCATATATTACTACTTCTCTTTTGGTATATACTAAGCATTCCAGACCATAAATTAAAAAAAAAAAAAAATTTACCTTTTCAGCAATCTTGTATGAGCATATTTGTCTTAGCTTTCGAAGACGTATCATTTTACAATTACAAGGAGACTTATACTTAACATAAAAAGGTAGTTGAAATTTCTAGGAAATGAGGAAAAAGTGTTTGGAAAATTTGACACTCACAGGACATATTGGACACAAGAGAAACAAAAGAAAACAACAAATAACCTACTTAACTATGTAAATGTTTGGCAGAACAGGGATTAAGAGAGATAGTAAAACAGACAAACTTAACTAAGAGCTACAAAGGACAGGAAATTGTGGAGTGTCATGATCATTATGTTTCAAAGGGATATAGCATATAGCAGGAGGTAGTTCTTTTCTTTGGGGTGGTTTTTTACATATATGTATATATGATTTGGGTTTCTGCCCAATGCCCAAGAGGCCATCTGTTTAAGTCAAATCACTGATGCACCTGACTTCTCTGAAGGACTCCAGGTGCAAAATCTATTCTGGTATGGATCAGGGATCAGACATATACTGCAGTTGCTGCACAGACCGCAATACTTGACTTGTACCAAAACAAGAATTCCATTAATTTTATTATAGTCCTGTGTGTCACTTCCTTCTTTAGTTAACCTGTACATTACAACCTGTTGATACCTCATAAATAATGGATTTTCCATCTTTCCACATGATCAAAATGAAATAAACAGCAGAGACACTGCTTGGTTTTAGTGAGAAAATGAAAGTGAGACTCACCTTGTCAATACCTCATAAGTAATGGATATTCTGTTTTGATTGCATGGAAAGAAAGAAAAAAAACATATAAGAGATGCTACTTGATTTGAAAGAAAGAAAGGAAGAGAAAAAAAAGAAAGAAAAAGAAAGAAAAATAAAAAAAGAAAAATAAAAAAGAAAGAAAGAAAAAGAAAGAAAAATAAAAAAGAAAGAAAGAAGAAAATAAAAAAGAAGAAAAAATAAAAAAGAAAGAAAAATAAAAAAGAAATAAAGAAGAAAGAAAGAAAAATAAAAAAGAAATAAAGAAGAAAGAAAGAAAAATAAAAAAGAAATAAAGAAGAAAGAAAGAAAAATAAAAAAAAAAGAAAGAAAGAAAAATAAAAAAGAAAGAAAGAAGAAAGAAAGGAAACATAAAAAAGAAAGAAGAAAGAAAGGAAACATAAAAAAGAAATAAAGAAGAAAGAAAGGAAACATAAAAAAGAAATAAAGAAGAAAGAAAAGAAACATAAAAAAGAAATAAAAAGAAAGAAAGAAAGAAAAAGAAAAAAAAAAAAAAAGAAATAAAGAAGAAAGAAAGAAAAATAAAAAAGAAATAAAGAAGAAAGAAAGAAAAATAAAAAAGAAATAAAGAAAGAAACATAAAAAAGAAATAAAGAAGAAAGAAAGGAAAAATAAAAAAGAAAGCCAACCAGCTGATGGACTATTCCATTTTGATTGCAAGGAAAGACGGAAAAGACATATCAGAGATGCTGTTTAATTTCAGTGACAAAAAGAAAGAAAACAGTGACTGTATAGTTTGTGCATTGGCGAGGCTACATATGATTTTGAATTCAGAGTTGGCCTTCTCCATAGTGAAAAACAATATCACCTACCTCGAAAAAGTGTTTGTGATTTGTACATTGTCTGCCAAAGGAAAATTAAAGAAAATAGTTAGCAAAAACCTGCTACTTTAAGTATCAGAGAAACTATGCTAATGTTCTTTCCTTCCCTGAATAGTGTGGCCAATCAGAAATATGATTTGGTGAATAAAGACCATTGTTTTCTGCTTACCAACAGAACAATTTTGAGCTTGGTCGGCAAAAGTACAGTTCTACTGTTGCAAAGGGAAGGTTGGATTTCAGACCCCGTTTTTCATTACTACATTGCCTTCTGGACTGTTACGACAGATTTTCACTTGAACTTTGTGTTGGCATACGGATTCTTTTTTTGGTTCTACTGACCCCATTGGTTGATACCCAAACAGCTGTGTCGTATTGGCTACAAGTGTCGTGGAAAAGAGAAATGAAAGAAACTAATTGCAAGCATTAATTGCTACAATAAGTTTAATGGTTTTTTGTTTTTTTTTTCTTTTTGGTGCATTCTTCTTGACTGGCTACCAGCCACAGCTACAGTGCCCAGTCTGCTCTGCTATTTAATCTATTGCAGGTAGGGCTAGAAGAGATGGATTCACTCCTTTTTACACATGGTATTTGTGAAAAAGTGAATGCAGAAAACATGGAACTACCTGCACATTCTGGGATAAGGATACATGTCTGAATAACTTAAAAGCGAGGACAAACTGCCATCCAAAAGATCCCCCCCTCCTGCCCAAACACTAAAAGAAAAAAGAAGAAAATTGTGTTTGGTTGAAGTTAAGCCACAAAAAGAAATCTTAATTACATAGCCAACCAAATAGGCTTACCTTTGTCTGTTTATAAGAAACTATTTACCTTTGAACCATGACCTTTTTATGTATTTACCTGTGCTTGAAATGGCATTAGCTAACATTGGTGAACAGGACTTGAAATATGTGCTGGATGGAGGTGGCAGATCCGTTGCTTGGAATGAGAATTGTCCACAAATGTGGATTTTGAGTGGGAGGTGTTATTTCTACGGAAGAAACTGGAAGCAGATGAAGAAAATAAAATAACGCAGGGAAAGTTCAACTGTTGTGTGTGTGGAGAGGGGTACTATAAATTGTTTGCTTCTATGCTGTGGCAAGCTTGTTAAAACTGGATAGTTTTTCAAGGCAATTTCATTCTCCAATGCACATCCAACACAAGAGTCTCATAACCTATTAGTCAAGTGTACTGTAGCCATAGCAGCAGTGGTGTGTTTAGGACAAGATAGCCTGACTGATCCCATCCCTTTTGAGGCTGGTTTTGAATTCATTTTCTTTTTTTCTTTTTTCTACTAGAGTTGTTGCAACCTCAAGACTAGAGTGCACATATCAGCACTGCTATTTTACCCATAGGTGGGAAGAAAAGAGATATTTTCCTTAATACTAATGTTTCACCTAATACAAAGCCCAAGAACCACTCAAAGTAGAGAGTTACAGAATGAGGTTGCTGTGTGAATGTAAGAGGAACAGGAAGTAACAACCGAATATGTAGGAGAGAAGAGGGTAAGATTAGTGATCAGGGGAGCATCCTCTTGGATGTCTGTTCTAGGAAAGAATACTTTCCAAATGGAACTTCCTTCTTACTAACAGAATACAAAGGGAATGTGGATGACCCATTCCAGTGTATACGGTATGGTGGTGCTTAGCTGTGAAGGTCAGAATTGGTGGAACTGAGGAATATAGCTTCTCAGAACATTTGCCATGGAAATACCATTAGAGTAGCAAGAGACTAGTGAGATTTTAACTGTGGGGAAAAGAGATGCAAAGTGGAAAATAATTCATCACCCACAAGGCCGTGTAAACCATAACAGTTAAGAGTACTGTAGTCATAGCAACAGTGATGTGTCTAGGACAAGATAACTGTCTATATTTCTGAGATGAGGTATTATGTACACTATTTACATTATTCATCTTTGTCATTTTTATTACAATGTTTCGTCCGTTGTACACTCTGGCTTTCTTCAGGTAGTTGGAATGTTAAACTGAACTGTTTATTTCACTCACTGGGGTAGACTGTTCTAGTTCCATGTGCCATGTTTAATGGATGTCAGTTATCTCCTGTTAATTCCCCTCGCCAACTTCTCCACTGCCTTAACCGGGTATTGAACTCGCACTTTTGGGGTCCTGTCACTGGATCTGACCAACACCTTTATCCACTGTGCCATGAGGACATCTGTGTATGAATTTCTGGGTATTATAAACCTAATGTCTTCAGCAATTTTTTACCAGTGCTCATATTGCAATTTTTGCTATTATCATTCATGTTTTTACCAGAGCTCATATTGCAATTTTTGTTATTATTATCGCTTTTCTCTGGCACTCCTTATTACTGGTTCCCATATTGTATTCATATGGCACAGTGGATAAAGACGTTGGTTAGATCCAGTGACAGGTCCCCAAGAGTGAGAGTTCAATACCTAGTTAAAGCAGTAGAGACCTTGGAGAGGGGAATTAACAGGAGATAACTGATAACTGACATCCATTAAATATGGCATGTGGAACTAGAACAATCTACCCCAGTGAGCGAAATAAAGGGTTCAGTTCGACATTCCAACCACCTGAAGAAGGCTGGAGTGTACAATGGGTGAAACATTGTGATAAATATGGCGACAAAGATGAGGAAAATAGTCCGAATAATGTAAATAGAGGATGAGATAACTTGATTGAGCTCCTTTTGCTTTGGGCTCGTTTTTGAATTTTTTTTTTTTTTTTTTTTTGACTAAAGAAGAAAGCCCTTTTGACTTTATCTCTCCTAATCCCTATTCTGCCAAACATTTACATAATCTTGTTAGATAGGTTATACACTGCTTTCCTCTAACCCTCGTAACTTCAGTATGTCCTGTGTGTGTCAAATTTTCTAAGCCCTCTTTCCTCATTATGTGCCCTAGAAATTCTAACCATCTCTTTCTGATATTATTTATAAACATCCTTTGTAGAAAAACTTTGTTTGCTCATATGTTCCATCAATGGTATTCTCAGTATTTTTGTTGCTTTAAGTGTTTGGGTGATGAGACTGTCCAGCATTCACTTATATAACATTTCAGTGCTCTTTCCTTTGTTTTCAAAAGGCCAACACAGCTGCCAAGCAAGTGCTATACACCAAGGTATCAATTACCAAGGTATGGTTGATATGCTAGTGAAATAACCAATCAATGATGTTTTCATTTTTCTTAATACTTTGTTTAACTTTTGGAAGGCTTCTTTCACTATTCCAATGCAACTACCTAAATTTCCATCAATAAGAGTTACTTTATATCAAAATTGACGCCATGTTGACAGATTTTTTTATTTTAACCAAATCTAGGACAAGTCCACTCATGAAGCCACTTAGTGAGAACCAAATTCCCTACACTAGGGATTCTAAATATGATTGGTAATACCCCAATGGGGGTCATGAACTCAAAATGGGGCAGTAAGTGTTCAGAGATATTATGGTTGATGCTGGTGATCTTCATTTTTTCAAAGACTTCAGTATTGGTGACGAAGTCACTCCAATGGATGTTAAGTGGATTATATGCATTATTCACATAAAATGCTAAGTGTGTGTGTCTTACACTTTAAACAGTATAGAGATACTGCGCCTTGATCATAGACAGTGTACACAAAATAGTTGGCAGGCTCACATTATAAAGGCTAGTCCCATGGAAACCATTCCCTCCAATTAGTACCTCCCCTTCAAGAAAAGGCTGAGGCATTTCCAAAAGAGAAAATAGTAATGGAATTGGGCTACTTTTTGCTTTTGGTCTGCTGTACATATGGAATTCACACTTTAAATGCTGTTTTGTGGTATATTTCATTCAAGTGGTTGTATAGATAAATCCAAATTATACAGATGATCTGGTCCCAACCCAAATTATTGACTCCGATATAAAGCTATGTCACTAGTCCTGCTTTTCTTTTTAACTGGAATCTATGTTAGCAGTTACTTTTTTTTCTCTTCCTCCAATTAGTTATATTTCACTGTTCTTTTGAGATCAAGTGACAGCAAGTCTTCTCAATAACGACTCTTTGGAATTGCATGATTTAGTAATGCAGTCATTTGGGTGGCTTGAATTCTTTCAGCATGACTTTGTTGTTCAGTTATTAATTGTTGTTGTTGTTGTCTTATTGATTGATTGTTATTGTCTTTTTGTTATTGATCGTTGTTGTGGTCTTTTTGTTCGTTATTGATTGTTGTTATTGTCTTTTTGTTATTGTTTTTACTGTTTTTGTTGTTGTTTTTGTTGTTGTTTTTGTTGTTTTTGTTTGTTATTGTTGTCTTTTTGTTTGTTATTGATTGTTGTTGATTTTGTTGTTATTGTTTTTTGTTATTTATGTTGTCTTTTTGTTATTGATCGTTGTTGTTGTCTTTTTGTTCGTTATTGATTGTTGTTATTGTATTTTTGTTAGTTTTTACTGTTTTTGTTGTTTTTTGTTGTTTTTTTGTTTGTTATTGATTGTTGTTGTTGTCTTTTTGTTTGTTATTGATTGTTGTTGATTTTGTTGTTATTTTTTTTTGTTATTTATGTTGTTGTTGTCTTTTTGTTATTGATCGTTGTTGTCTTTTTGTTTGTTATTGATTGTTGTTATTGTCTTTTTGTTATTGTTTTTACTGTTTTTGTTTTTTGTTGTCTTTTTGTTATTGATCGTTGTTGTTGTCTTTTTGTTTGTTATTGATTGTTGTTATTGTCTTTTTGTTATTGTTTTTACTGTTTTTGCTGTTGTCTTTTTGTTTGTTATTGATTGTTGTTGTTGTCTTTTTGTTTGTTATTGATTGTTGT